GTCCCTTCTCATGACAATAAAAACATATAGACTCTTTGGGAATGGTACACGAGACAATCACAGACTTAGCCTTTCCCTTTACCTTTTAGTCAACCTGGTTGACCAAGGCCGATCCCCTTCCATTGGGACGAGAAAGCTTTTCTGGACTTCCAATGTTACCATTGTCCATGTCCATGGAAGTTTGAGAAATAGATTTTCCATCAATATTTGCTTGACCATTGCGGCAAATCATTGCTGATTCAGCAACAACAAGCAAATAAGAAAGATCTATTAGGGTTATGTCGGGATCTGTCATATGGTAGTCTTTAATAAACTCACCATACGACTCAGGAAGTGACTGAAGAACCCAGTCAACAGCGAACTTCCTTGAAATAACAGCACCCAACATTCTCAACCTGTCAATGTGTGACTTCATTCCTAAGACATGAGTGCACACAGGTCTTCCATCTTTATGTTTCGTTTCTAGTAGAGCTTGAGTGATCTTGAACCTTTCAAGTCTTCGGGCTTGTGGGTCAGGGAGAATAAATGGAGGAGGTAGGGGGAGTGAAGCATGATGTTGAGGGACATCATCTTCAGGAGGAAAGCTTGTTTCAAGCGATTTGGGAAGATCATAGTTGTCTGAACCAGACATCTACAATGGGAGAAAATCAAGTTAGTTGATTCAAGTCCTTAATATAACACCCAATATGAAATATTAAGGCTAGGACCCAACACAATATTTTATAACTTGGAAGAGGGATGCCGTAATCCAAGCTATAAAATATTTGAAGGTAGGCGAATGACGATTCACCAATTTCCACCATGAAAAACGAAATAATTTATTAGGTTTTAATTGGATTTGAAACTCCTAGATCTTTTGAGATTCATTGAACTTTTCAATGGCATGTTTCAATCTCGATTGTGCCCTCTCAAGTTTTGTGACTGGGATGCCGAGGATCACAAAACAAGGTGTGAATAACCACGCAAACTCACTAGGTACCCTTAATATTATCACCTAATCGATGTGCCGGTTAACCACACACGCTCCACCGATCTATGATAAACATTAAGTCACCCTTCGTGATCCTTACTAGTCCAAGTTAGTGTGTCGGTTAACCACACACGCTCCACCAACGACTTGGTAAGGTACAAGGTGTGAATTCCATGGACTAGCACCAAGTTCACATTTTTCCTAAAGTAACTAAGATTGGGAATTAAAATATTTAGTTACTTTATAATAATCATTATACTTTTAATGAGGATTTAAAGTCATTGTCCTACCCGTTCGGCTAACGACCCTCCACCGATCAAGGAAGCGGTGGGTGAGAGTGGACACCCATTAAGCTGCCATTTTATAGGCAACAACCTTATACCCCCCTTATAGACCGGCTTCGTGAATGAGGCCTACTAACGGTAGAACGACTTATTCTTATACATATATATATATATATATATATATATATATATATATATATATAATAATTAACCATTAATGTTATAAATAGTATAAGTGTTGAATTTTAACTATTAAAACTCTAAGGGTTGGAATTAAAGTTTATTAAAGTGTGTATAACTTTACAAATTCCAAAACTTGAGGACAAGTTTTGAAACTATTCAAAACTTTTCATTTCATAACTTATGAATTAAAGGTTTATAAAAATGAAGACTCTTCATTTCCATGTAACTTATGTGTTTTAAGTGTGTGTTTAAAAGAAGTGACCTTTGGATATCCATAACTTGAGGACAAATTATGGACTCCATTAAAACACATAAATGATCAAGAATTAATCCTAAACAATTCAGCAAATAATTCCTATCATCTTCTAAATTCATAAGAACATGAACATGATCATCAAAGTTTCAAGAATTATATGAACACATACAAAACATGAAATTTTGATATAAGCTATTGTAAATGGATTAGAACAACCATTACACCAACTAAAACAAGTTTTAAAACACCAAAACAGTTTAGGATAATGTTTCTAGTCCATTTCCAGCAGCAAAAGTCGAAAATCTGCATTCTGAGGCTCCTACTCGCCGAGTGCACAAACCTACTCGGCGAGTAGGATGAGTTTAGTCATGGACTCGGCAAGTCCCCCCATGGACTCGACGATTTCATCATGCAGACAGCAAGAAAATCGACTTTTTCCACTATTTTGCATCAAGTATCAAACAAACAAGCCTAGGCTCTGACACCACTGTTGGGTTTTGAGCATTCTAACACTTCCTAAGTGTACATGCAACCCTAATAAACCTTGGATCTATGTTTGTCTAAGGTACATGCAAAATATTATTTTCCAAGGTTTATAACCTATCTAGCATGGCATGGGGTACTTTTAAACATAAAAGGACTAGATGAATTACATACCTTTTGTTGATTGTTGATTCCTTGGAGTTTGAGAGCCAAGCACCAATAATGTGAATGCCTCAAATGGAAATCACAAATCACCACAAACTTGGAAAATGTATGAGAGAGTATACTAACACTTAGAAATCGGCCACCACTATTACATACACACTAGGGTCTCATTTCATGCATCACAAGCTTGTTTATATAGTGCACATGATTAGGGTAAACCCTAATAACCCATGTCTTTTCCTTTCCAAGGATCCATGGGTTAAAAGCTCCATGGATCATCCATGGACTTCCATATAAGCTTAGCCCATTACCATAATGAGTGTTAGCCCACACTATATAAATATAATAGCTCATGTTTAATTAGTCACCATTTGATCACTAAATTAATTCATAATTAATTTAAGACCAATACTAATTAAATAATATAATTTCATATTAATATATTATAACTTATAATATATTAATAAGCCGCAAATATACTCTTCTCATAATGTTATCCATATAAATAGTTCGGGTGAAGTGCAACCCAAATGGACCATGCCGGGTCGGGTCAAATATATACCAAATAAGTTATGGACTTAGACACCTTATCCAACAATTGCTTCGAAGTTTCAGCCGATCCTCATAGGCCTTGAGCCTTCCTACAGCTTCCTCGAATGGTATCTCATCCACATCTGCATATTGGTCTATGGATGCTACTAGTTGCAGATAGTTATTTGGGACGGAGTCAAGTAACTTTCTTATGAGCACACTATCTTCAAGAGTTGTACCAAGACTGTTGTGCTTCGAGATCATTGCACCTAGCTTTCCTGCGAACTCATCTATAGACTCCCCGTCTTTCATCCGTAAGGCCTCGAACTCACTTTTGAGAGTGTGCAATCTTGCTTTCTGAACTCTATCAGCCCCGGGAACCTTGTTTTTAAAGAATCCCATACCTCCTTTGTCGTCTTCTTCTTTGCCACCTGTAACAAGATGTCTTCCGGTATTGCTTGGAAAAGATAAGCTCGAGCCGACTTGTTCTTTTTCTCATCCACAGCTTCTCCCCATGCTGGTTCAATGGATTCCCATACTCCCTGGGCATCCATTATAGCTTCCATTTTGATCGCTCACGTGGTGTAGTTTGTGGAAGTCAACATCAGACATTGAAATGACACTCCACCATTCTCTCTTGTAACAAGTTGGCTGGATGGCGACATGGATTCGTAGCGGATATATTTGGGCATGAACCGAAAGCTCTGATACCAAGTGTTGGTAAACAGGCTACAAAATGATCTCAAAAAAAGCTGCACAAATTGATACATGGGTAAGAGTGCACACACAAAATTATTACTGAATTCCTTTATTTTGACACACAAAACAAACTACAAACTGATTGCAATTTATAGACTCTATCACATTGAAATCTGAATTAAAGTGCTTTAAAATAACCAAAAACTATAACTGAAAACTTTAACTACCAGGTTACCCACAATATGGTAACCAATTATTCTCTTTATTGCATTAAACTCAAATTCAAATAAGAATTAACTCCAACAATTTGGAATAGTATAAGTAGGACGAATGTGACCATGATGTGTTTATATAGCTAGCATGTTTTGAGAGTAAAGTGTTGAATACTCATGGAAGAAAATAAATGATAGAAATTCTGAAGGAACCCTAGCTAGGATTTTCATTTTATAAATTGTGACAAATGGGTTGTGAGATAATCATAAAAATCACAAGGTCATAATCAAAGTCAGTTCATCCTAACATCATATAACCTTACCAAAAGTAATCTCAATAGATTTAGCTCTCCATCTTTTCAGAAAAAGCATATTCATCAAAGATAAATTATTCATGGATGTAAGAGACATGTAGGATGGTGATGGAATGTTGTTGATGATCATTCTAACCTTTGATGATGTCCTTAATGGTTTCTTAGGGGGTTCGAAGATGTTTCTTCTTGCTAAAGCTCACCTAAAATCACGGAGGAGTAGTGGTTATAGGGTTAGAATTGTCTTCTATTTATAAGAGAAGATGTCAGCAGCTTTGACTATTAGACGGCTTGGCTTATTGAGTGTTGTCTTTGACCGCCTATTGATCGTTAGTAGGACCATCACCAGGGGGTCCACCCATTGGACCCCACAAGTGGTACTGTCCCTTGACTACCACCTTTCTTCCACGGATAAAACTCACCTTAAACAAAGATGCACTCCATATCACCTAACCTGTATCATATCACGGGTTTGAGTCTCCTTTGGCACTTAATAAATTACAATTACATTAAATGGTCATGTGACACTAAAATCATTTACATGCTAAAATTGATGAAGTTCCATATTTGGGTATATAAGTATATTCGAGATGAAACTCAACTATATGAATGCTCGAGACATTTAAGAAAAATCAATTTAAGATCCTAAACAATACTTGGTAAACGATGGGAGTTCCTCTTCTTCATCCGGTGACTAAAGGGTTTCTCAAAAACAGGTGTAACTTTGACACAAAAATTGAAAGTTAAATGGTTGATAGGATACAATTACACGAATAGTGAAATTGCCTATTGATGACACTTTGTTGCTACATGGTGACATCAACCTATTACTTATAATTATTAGTTTTTTTACAAGGTCCAATAAACAGAAATAAATCTTCAATTGGGATGCTAAAATATATGTAACTAGAGACAGCTTGTCGGATGAAGTACGCCTGATGCAGTCCCAGCAGCATAGGCACAAGAGGACACCGCTGGTTGAGTTTGATTCCCACGAATATAGTTAAGATTGACGTCTTGTAGTCTTATTCCACTGCATGGGTTTCCCTGGCTACAATCTAGCTTCACTGCCACTTGGCTGGCTGATGTTCCATGGATATCTTCATACACCACGTCCTTAATCTTCACCCCTGACACCTGATTCGGGCAATTATTACCTTCTGGGCAGTACTTTTGCTCAATGAGAATGGGATTTTGGACATTAACCATGGTCACATGCTGGAAAACAACACCAGTTACGAATCCATGGCTAGGCCTTGCCCATGTCTTTATTCTCACACCATTCTCGGTTCCTCTAAATGTTACAGTTGACACTGTTATGTTCTGGACACCAGGTTCCTCTAATTGCCACCCCAGACTTCCAATGCTGTAAGTAGCCAACAAAAACACGTCATGCATGCTTCTACACATACTAACATACATACATACATAGAGACATACATGCGTATATATTATTTAATTAAAGAGATATACCTGATGCCATGACCAGGGCCACAAGCCACCTTCTCTATCCACAGGTTCGTATTTCCAGGACCTATAGAAATACAATCATCCCCAGTCGCAATCTTGGAATTCAGGATGGTGACACCTGTAGAAGATATTAAATGGATCCCATCTGTATTAGGGCTGACGCCAGATGCTGAGATGCTCACTCCCTGTAGCTTGACATTCGTGCATGCATCTATCAGAATATGGAACATCTGGCTGTTTACCGATTTCAACCCACTTATCACAATGTTCTTTGAATTGTAGATGCCTAGTGTCTGCATGTACACCACCAAACTAAATCATTCCTTTCTTATAATTTGGATGTGGATTATCCAATGGAGTATCATTTGTATAATATGACATTGACCATACTTTCCTTGTCTATGGAGAGAGTAGTGTTTGATTTAGAATTAGTGGAATTCCGTATCATTGTTTTATAGGAGTAGGAAGATAAGTAGAAAAAAAATTAAAAAGATATTTAAATTTTCTATATCTATAAATTTTCTAGTTAATATATAGGAAATAAAAACATGCGATCAAGCAGGAAATGTAACATGTATGTACCGTAGTTCCTTTTGGGCAGCTTTTCCCGGAGGTTTTGCAAGACCAAAGAGAAGCACCTTTGGCATCGAGGGTACCACCGGAGATGGTGACATGGTTGACTCTATGGAATCTGATCCAGTCACCGGAGTTAGCAATGGCATTGTATTCAGATGGAGCAACCAGGGTACCATAGATGCGTATCGTGATTGCACTGCTCATGCATCTTTCGCCTGCAAAAGTGATGGCAGTTGCAATCAAGAAGGTGCCTGTGGAGATGTAGATGGTGGCTGACTTGGTAGAGTTACATGCAGAAGACCATGCGCTGAGAAAGGCTTTTGTGGAGTCTGTGTTTCCATCCCCTTTTGCTCCGAAGCTTGTCACATTGTATGTAACTTTTGCTGCTGCAGCTGATGACAAAAATGCAATCACGACAAGATAAAGGCTTTTCATGTTATGTGTATATGTTTGATGAAGGAGATATGGACAAAGACAATGATCAGTATGTGTTTATATACAATTATGTAAGTTTATGTTGGAAATGAAGATAAAATCACGGATGGCATGTACGTATATTTTTTAATTTTTTGGAACAGCGAAGATTTAAATATAAGAGCATGTGCTTTATATATATCCTCGGGGTTTGTCGTGCATATACATGGGTTTATATTAGACGATATAATAATTAGGGAGAATAAGCTAAATAGAACGGTATGATGATGAAAGAGAGGAATAACTGATAAAATGATTAACGATCATGAACATTCATGTTGATTAATAATGTGTTTATTTACGTCGAACTGTAGGAGAAAAACACGTGTAATACAAACGGTTTAATAAATGATGTGAAAATAGTAAAATATATATGTGTGACCCAACCTAAATCAGGTTGAAGATGTCCCAAATCATGAAATATATTTTGTTGAAGATGTTCAAATCTCACTTTTGCATGACAATTATTTTTCTACAAATAGCAATTTTCCCAAAGTTTTATTTGCACGGATTTTCTATGGATTTTATGGATTTGCACGGATTTTCTATGGATTTTATGGATTTTCTTGTGTGTACTATTAGAATATTTGGTTTTAGCTACAAATTATTTCCGACGAAAATTGTGTGTTGGAAATTTGTGTTTAATTTCCTACAAACGACAAATGTACAATCCAACAAAATTCCTACAAGTTTCCTACATAAGTAGATACCCTAAAGATTTCTTTGGAAATTTGTCACTAGTTTCCTAAAAAAATTCCAACGAAATATTAATTAATATTTAAAATTACAGTTGGAATTTCGTAGGAAATATAAAAAATTTCTCATATTTTCTTTTTGCTTTTCCCTCTTTTTGTTTTGCCTTCCTCCTTTTTTTAATATTATTATTATTTTATATAATTATTAGAACAAATATAATAATTATAATTTGATATTATTATTAATATAAATATAATAATAATTATTATTTTATTATTATTAATGTAAATATAATAATTATTATTACTATTATTTTGATTATTATTGTTATTATTTTCTTCTTAGATTTATTATAATTAATTTGTTAATATATAACTATATGTTTTTTTTATTAATATTAGGGTTACTATAATTATATTATTATTATTATTTTGCATGTATGTGTAGTTGTATGTGTATTCAACATCTGAGTATAAGGTTTAAGGTTTAATGTGTGTATGTATGTGTCTGTAAGCATGCGGGTATAGAGTTTAGAGTTTAATATATGTATGTATGCCTATGTGTACTCACCCTCTAAGCACAAGGTACAAACTGCTAAATCACGCCACCCTCATTACGTTGAGCGTACACCTGTACGCCCAACGTACTCTTCAGAGGGCCAAAATCCCACAAAAGCTCTTAATAGTTAAGACAAAGGCTTCCAAACTCAGATATGACCCTAAGGAGACGTCTTAACATGTGAATTTGGCAACTTTACACTCATGCATGGCTTAAAGGGACTCAAAAGCTCAAAAAGAGCTTAATGAAGGTCTTAATGCTTACATGGACCAATATCATCCATAAAGCTGACATTTTTATTAATATGGGCACCGAATGGAGCCAAGATCTAGTATCCATAGCTTCTGGAGTAGATAAAAAGCTCACCTTTAACTCAAAAGTCTCCAAAAGTACACAAAATACACCATAACCAGATCTAACACCAAAGACCATCAAGGTAAGAGCTTTTTACCTCAAAATGCTTGAAAATGAGTAGAAGATCCTGGATCTATAAGCTCAAGATATCCCCTCAAGTGCTCTTCTTCTTCTTCTTCTTCTTCTTCTTCACAAACCACCAACAAACACTCTTCCATGCTCAAAACTCACCAAATCACTCTAGGGTTTCGATTTCAAGGTTTAAAGGGATGGAGGTTGAAGATAATAGGGTTTGGTGTTGAGTTAAGGAGCTTAAATAGGGTCCAACACCCTAAATTAGGGTTTGGATCAGACTAGAGTACGCCATTCGTAACTCTGGTACGCCCAGCGTACTCCAAGGAGTACCCGCGACACCCTTGCCTAGTACGTCCAACATACTTTCCAAGTATGCCCCGCGTACTAGGTTGGCCCTCAATCCTTCAAACTTCCGAATGTTATATCTTCCTCGTTCTAGGTCCTATTTCGACGATCCTTATATCCACGGAAAGGTAACAACAAGATCTATACTTCTATCAACTCATCCTTGCCTTAAAACTCCCCGAACTAAAATCCAAAATTCATAAAAAGCCTGAACTGACAATTTACCGATATAAACCTAGGCTCCGAAACACAAACCGAACTCCCGGATCATCTAAATTACATTACCCACACCCAATAGGTCCAAATCTCTCTTTCCGAAAGGCCCTAAGCCTTATGATAACCGATATTCGGGTCACAGCCCCGAATTAGGAAACGATTTGGAAGAGGGTGTTACAACTCTCCCCCACTTAAATTAGATTTCGTCCTCGAAATCACTCCTTACCACCCTCTTGGGAACCAACATTCTGAACAACACCTTCTAGTGCTGAACAAATCACTGATCCCATATATGTCGACCCAATACGCTACTGCTATAAATTCGATGTCTCATAACTTACCTGACTTCTACACAGGTAGAACCATTCCGAAACACAATTACAACGGTCTCCTTCTACCATCAGAACTGAAAACATCTTTTACCTTGAACCTTCCAATTGATAACCCGACATACAGATTCCTTAATCCATAACTTGCTGAAGTAAAGATCTTGCATATATGTTGAGATATGTCTCTGGCTTAACTCTATCTCTTTGAGGGGTGGAAATGAAGGGCATGAGAATCACAGCAAAGAAAACAAGATCATTAGTTGTCGTCCAGGAGGCAGTCCCGGAACGAAGCTCCGACGATCAAGTCAGATTGTCTCTAAGAGAGGTCAAAAAGAGTTAAGTAAGTGTTTAAGGGTTTTTCTCTCGATCCCCGCTCTTGGAGGAGAATGGACCTTTTTATACCTGTGGTCAGGGGGACAGATCCCCAACAGTACCTTCTACCTTTTCAGGTTTGGCAGAGATAGATAGCCTTCGATTGGTAGATCGTGTTCAGCGAGTGGTTGTTTGCTATTGGTGCAGGTTTGCCAGGAGCGGCGTCCTGAGCGCTACACCTGTCACTCTGGGAGGCGATTGGTACTATTTTGTCTTATCGCTTGCCTTGGCGCTTGGGCTCCAAGGAACGAATACGAGATCGTGAAGGTGAGGGCGAGGACGCGATGTTAGACAAACGTCGTCCTTTTCCCAAACCGTCTATCAGACTGATGGTTTCATTATGTTTGTCGTACTCCTGGTGGGATACGCTATCAAGTCCCCTAGGCTAGTAGACGTTAGCGTTTGCTTAGGGTAGCTGAGTTGTTCTAGCTTAGATTTGGACACGCGTTTTGTGGGGATGGCTCTTTGACAACTACTGACGTGACGGAGGCGTCTGCACAGGCGGTTTTCATCATAACCGCTTGAACTTCCCACCTGCATTTAAATCTTCCTTTATTTGTGTCAGTTCCCCTTTTATTTTTTTGCTTCTTCTCACTTCTACTACTTATTTTCCTCTTTCTCTCTGTTTCTGCTTTTTTTTTCGACGAACAATGGCTAGCCCAAATACCGAAATCGTTCCTTCTCCAAGCGAGTTCGCCGATATTCAAGAGCGGTTTTAGTTTCCTTCCTGAACATGGTGTGGAATACCCTCGAAATGGGGCTATAATTTCTCGGCCACCGGAGGGGAAATTTGGAGTCCCCATTCCGATATTCGAGGCTGGTTTGAGGCTGCCAACGACAGAATTTTTTGACGAGATAATGCGCCAGTATGGCTTCCGCATGGATGACTTGACTCCAAACGCTGTCAAGAAGATTGTTGGTTTTGAACTCGTCTTTCAGACCCTTGGAGTTATGCCACAGTTTTGGGAATTCAAAGCTTTCTTCAATTCTTCTACTCAGTCTGATGCTCGGACTTTTTCCCAAAGGCGGGGGTGTTCATGCCTTTATTATTAACCGAAAAGCTCCAAAGAAGAACTGGAAAGACTGGTGGCTCTCGGTAAATCACGACCTTGTCAGTTTTGGCTATCCTCGTTTGACTAATTTTTCCGATCGAGCACCAGAACTGTGGGGTGCCAGTGCCACTGTGGTGCAAGCATTGAAGACCATTTGTGTCAATGGCGAGGATTGGGAGGATCATATGATGGCTGCAGTCAGGATGAGCGTTGCTTGGAGGGGTCAGGGGATGATGCCTCAGTTATATGTTGAGAAGGACGGTAAGTACCTTTCCTTCCCTTCTCTTAGATTGTTGTTTGCTTTTGTGTTTTGCGAGTTATATTGGCTTGTTTCTCATTTTCAGGTCACGAGAGGATCCTTCCCTTTGAGATGGTGCCGAGGGGCCGCTTTCAAGGCACCTGTCAGTACCGAGAAGTGCCCTTGGTTGAGACGCTCCCTCCACCGGTCAGTCCCGACCGTGCCTTGGGTCTTTTCGACCCTCTTATTGCTTCTCTGCCCGGGTCTGATTCCCCCGTTGGTCAGGTGTTGATTGACGCGCATGTCGGTGGTGTTTCCCATGAGGACCCTTTACTTTGTGATACAGAACGGGAGGAGGCGTCGACCGGACTGACTCGACATAGCACCTATGCGGCCTCCAAACGACGGCTTTCCTGGCTAGATTCACTGCTTGCAGAGTCCGCTGAGCCCAGCTCCGAGGGTCAACGCCTTCTCAAGAGGCGGAACATGGACTTCCTTTTGGGGGAGTCCACTGTAGTGGTTGACATCCCCGATGATGATGCTCCAAAATAGTCGGAGGGGATGAGAGAAGGGGCGACTGAACTTCCCTGTGAACCTAAAGAGGAGCCAGTGGAAATTACTGCCTTTGGTGGGAGCGTTTTTGGTGTTGACTCAGACGTTGTTCGCGAAGGTGTTCCAAACTCACCAGTCCTGCTTCTGACTGGGGAGGGTACTGTCGAGGGTTCT